TTTGTTCAGCCGAGTCTCGCGTCGTTGTTGCGGGCTCGTCGCTTCTCCTTCTATGTTCCCAGCAGGCCTCAGGCGACGTGCTACACTTGCAACACCTTCCTTAGCCCAGAGACTCCAAAACCCCTGAGTTAAGGAATATCCCTTAAACTATAATAAGAACCCTAGTATGATTTAAGGTATATTCCTTAATTAAGGGGTTTGGGAGTCTCTGGGAGAACCTCGCGGCAACGTATTTGACATAAACCTTGGGATGTACCCCCTCCTACGAACAGTCCTTAGCAACGATTATAGTCTTCCCGATGACAAACCCTATTAAGGACGTTTAAAACTTTAGTATAAAGGGGGAACCAACCTCCCAGTGAGCCCAGTACCCTTGAATAAGGAATACTCCTTAAACAATGTAAGGACCCTTAGTATGATTTAGCGTATATGATTCCTTAATTAACGTTTACAGTTTGTAGCTTACAGGGTTTAGGGTTTAGGGCTACGAACCTTACGCGCCACGCCAGCCACGCTCAAGAAAAGATCCTGACTCTGACTAGTTCAATTTTGAGCAAGGAAGTCTTCGACCCCACACAGGAGCCTAGGCAATTACCCAGTGCTCTCCCCTGAGAAGCTCTCATATGCTAGGACAATACCCAAATTCTACTTAAGTAGGCCCCTAGAACCCTAAATTCCCCCAACCTCTAAACCCTACTTTAATCAGCCCCTACATATCAGCCCAGTGCTGGCAGATTTCGGCCCGAGGGGAAGACACGATTGTGTGACTTCAGGCTCTGCTCACGAGAGGAGGGCTTTCTGGGCACACCATGGCTGGGGTTACGCACCTTGGCGAAACATGACTGCGAGAGCAAGTATATACATAGCGACGGTCGAGACACGAGAGCCCTAGTCCAGCAGGGTTGAGGGTTGCGGTATTCGGGCTCAGGGGCCGAGGGCTCAGAGGGTGATCCGGTACCGATTCACCTTCATCGACTTCAAGGATGCACCGGCCGACAACCACGTGCGCGCGAGCAGCTGCCCAGCTTCCCCGACTCGATGTTCCAGGACACAAGACACGGATGTGCCGTGACCAGCACGTGAGCCAGACCGTAACCCCTAAACCCCAAACCTGATCTTCCCCAACACCCACGATGCACCTAACGAAGCCCAGAGCCTAAACCCTAAACCCTCAACCCTCAACCCTGAACCCTGAACCCTCAACCCTCAACCCTCAACCCTCACCCCTAAACCCTAAACCCTAAACCCTAAACCCTAAACCCTAAACCCTAAACCCTAAACCCTACTCCATCTGTGAATTTGACCTCATCATTTCAGGGATCCACTCTGAGAACTGGGCTTGAGTCGCCAGGGTTTATGGGAAAAAGACACAAAGTGAGAAGGGCTTTTGGGGCTGACACCCTGAAGCCTAAACCCTAGACCCCAAACCCCAAACCCTAAACCCTAAACCCTAAGTTTCACCAACACTTGCGGACTTCCGAAGCGAGTTAGCTCTTTGCTGCGGGGCATCATAGGGGTGTGGGGGGTGGGCTCGCATATGCAGGAGACGGCTTGATGCGTAAGTCCTTTTTTTGTGACGACAGCGTCAAGGGTATTGGGGAATTCAGAAGCGGCTGAGAACTTCGGAACATAAAGAGAAGGAGAGGGAGAGGGAGAGTGAGAGCGAGAGAGAGAGAGAGAGAGACAGACAGAGAAGACAATCAAGACAGAGAGTGAGAGAGAGTGAGCGAGAGCGCGAGAGGGAGAGGGAGAGAGAGAGAGAAAGAGCGAGAGAGACAAGGAGATGGAGAGAGCGTTATCAGCCCCCAGAGACCTCCAAATTGAGGCGGCGGAGGACAGTGACATGGACGACTACATGCGCTTGCTGGTGCAGCGGCAGAGGGTCTTCCCCCTCCCTCCTCACCTCACAGCGCGAGGGCCGCAGCAGTGACCTGGACTGGGCCCTTCCCAGAGCCGAGCTCAGTGAACTTTTAGGCCAGTTATAGGGGGGGAACCCCACAAGGTACAACCCTAAACCCTAAACCCTAAACCCTAAACCCTAAAGCCTAAAGCCTAAAGCCTAAAGCCTAAACCCTAAAGGCCACCCAATTTCCATCCCATACATTCTTGTGTGGGGAAAGAACGCCGTAACTTTGACTTCTTATTTGGAAATCTCAGCGGCTGCCATGATGGGAGTGTCAAGCTTCCGAGGACTCAGGACTGGAAGGTTTAGGGTTTAGGGTTTAGGGTTTAGGGTTTAGGGTTTACGGTTTAGGGTTTAGGGTTTAGGGTTTAGGGTTTAGGGTTTAGGGTTTAGGGTTCGGAACCTTTCTCGGAAGAAGTTAGACTCCACCATGGCTTGGGCTCAGTATACAGCTGGCAGTTGTAACGGCCCTTCGTTCCCATTTTGCTATTGCGCATCCTAAACCCTAAACCCTAAACCCTAAACCCTAAACCCTAAACCCTAAACCCTAAACCCCAAACCCTAAACCCTAAACCCAAAGCAAGGTGTTGGGTTGCATTTTGTGTTATCGCCGGGATGCGGCGCACATCGACAGCGTCGATGAAGTTGATGTTCTTTTTCCGGCACGCGTCCCAGCCGGTGTCAGCCCGATGTTTCCTGGGGTTTATTTGGTTTGGGTTTAGGGTTTAGGGTTTAGGGTTTAGGGCTTAGGGCTTAGGGCTTAGGGCTTAGGGCTTAGGGTTTAGGGTTTAGGGTTTAGGGTTTAGGGTTTAGGGTTTAGGGTTTAGGGTTTAGGGTTTATAGGGTTTAGGGTTTATAGGTTTAGAGTTTATGGTCCCTCTTGGCCCCTTAATTCGGCACAAGCTGCCAGCACAACGTCCTTGCAGTCTGTGCCTTAAACCCTCAACCCTCAACCCTCAACCCCAAACCCTAAACCCTAAACCCTAAACCCTAAACCCTAAACCCTAAACCCTATAAACCCTAAACCCCTACCCTTTATAGAGTTTAGGGGGGGCTTTCGGGCGTTCGGCACCCCGGGAACGCATGGGGAGAAGGTGCCCCGAAAGTTCGGAGTAGGTCGCTCTGGATCCCAGGGTCGCTGGCTCGACAGTTCGGCGTTCACGGAGTTCTTTTTTTGGGGGGTTTAGGGTTTAGGGTTTAGGGTTTAGGGTTTAGTTTTTATTTGGGGGGGTTTAGGATGTATGGCTTTTGTGACTTAGGGCACAGATTTTTTTCTGGGGGGGGATTCAGGGGCCATAGAGGCTCTTGGGGTAGATTGCACTCTATGGGCAGGGTGTAAAGGCACAGAATCCGAGATCTTGCGCGACCCAGGGTTTGCACAATATATCTCAAATAGTTTTGATCATCCGTCTCAATGCGACTGTGGCGACTAACGCCTCAAGCTGGACTGATCTCGATGAAACGAGTTCGTGCCGGGTCCCTTCTGCGAGCATTCGGTGCCTTTTGCCCTCAGGGCTTGGGGCTGTAAGGCCTATGAAAACTCAAAACCCTTCAGGCTCGAAATCCCGAACTTTGACCTGTGGTTTGGATTCGGCCTTGAACAATCGGACACTCAGGAAGGCGCTTATAGAATTCATCCCAAGCTGCTGTGATTCTTTGTGCGCTTGCTCTACATTTCCTCTACTGTGCATTTTCGTTCTTGCTCTTGCTACTGCCATTGCTATCGTTGTTGTTGTTAATTATTGTTTAGCGTTATGATGAATCTTACATCTTGGTATTGTTAGTTTGATATCTTCCGAGCAACTCGGGGAACATGGGGGACCCTAAACCCTAAGCCTCTCAAGGGGTTGAGGACTTAGGACAATTTCTGGGATCGCTTAAGCCCCGTGGTGCCCAGTGGTACCCTTTTGCCCAAAAGGTTCTGGATTTCTGCATAAAGGTAGTTTAGGGTTTAGGGTTTAGGGTTTAGGGTTTAGGGTTTAGGGCTTATTATCATATGGTTACGGGCCCCCAAAGCTTCTGAAGCAGCTGAAACCCCTCAGAACGCCACTGCGCCGAGCTGAGTACTGGATGACGCCTGCTACTCAGCTGAGGGTTGCTGTTGAACTACAGCCCCCCCTGGTTATTTGAATTTGTTTTCGTCAGTATGTGTACAATCCCAAGGAAATATTAAAAAGAGAAGAACAATGTGTTGTTTGTAAGGTTCTAGAATTATTAAGGTTCTGAGGGGAGCATAGTAAACCTCAGGGCCCTCTTTCTTGGGTGGCCGTTGATGGGCAGATTCCTTTCTTAAGATACCCGTGAGGAGATTCATGTTTGAAGTGCAGAACGCCCGCTCAACTGCCAAGCGCATCTTATGGCAGGCGTTGAGAGGCTTAATTTAGGTATCTCCCAAGAAATGGGGTATCTTGTTATCTAGATATTTAAAATCGGATTCGCATGGGGATAGTGTTGGTTTAGAGTTAGGGCTTAGGGCTGGGGGTTTCTTTTTTAGAGTACACGAATTCGGGCAATCCCATTAAGTTTCATTTAGCTGGTGCCATGGTTGAGATGTAGCTCTGCAGTTTCCCTCAACCCTAAAAGCTAAGCCCCAAACCCTAAACCTTAGATTTCGAAACGGCGAGCTGCAGAGACCTTGTGATTGGGTTTTTAGATTGGGGGGCACAGCTCTTTTTAAAATAATATCAGGGGCTGTATAGGGTAAATATAGGGGGCCCCGTTTAAGGTCCTATATTAAGGGACCATGGAACTACCCCCAGGTTCTTGCTTCTGCTGATCTTGCTTCGCAGGTTTCTCAGGTACTGGCAACTCGTAGCTTGGCCGGTTGCAGCCGCCATTAGGGTTTAGGGTTTAGGGTTTAGGATTGAGGGTTCAGGGAATCCGACATTCTTTTCCCGAGCACCTGAGGGCCGAATCCTAAGAACTTCTAATGCTAAAAGCCTTCGTCCTTCGTCGCAACATAGTAGGGGTCGGAAAAATTACTATCATGATTCCCCATTGGGGTCCCTTTACAGTCATACTACAATAACCCCCAAAGCCCTGTTCTAATCAAAGCGCCTACATTAGGCACTCGTGCCGAGACGCTCGGCTTCTTGCCATGGCCACGACGCACTACTGGACGTCGGTCTTGCATGCGCATGGAGGTGATCAGGAGAAGCTGAAGGACACATGAGTATTAAACCCTAAACCCTAAACCCTAAACCCTAAACCGGAAGACTATCATGAACATCGCACAATGCGCAGGTCCGAGCATGACCCGCACAAGGTTTCGAGTTCGGGGTTTAGGATTTGCGGGCTTTGGGTTCGGGTTCATAAGATGGGTTAGGGTTTAGGGTTTAGGTTGAGGGTTTAGGGTTTAGGGTCCTTCAGCCAGCAGTGAAACGAAGCGCAACCCCTTCCCCCCGGCCCCGCCTTCGTGTGTTTTCAGCCTTGAACCGAACAGCTGTTTTTGGACTACCAATCGTCCAATTCTGGTCCCGAAGCTTTGGGGTCTAGGGTTTAGGGTTTAGGGTTTAGGGTTTAGGGTTTATAGTGTTTAGGGTTTAGGGTTTAGGGTTTAGGGTTTAGGGTTTAGGATTCAGGGTTGAGGGTTTAGGGTTTAGGGTTCGGGTTCCCTCAGGACCCTGCCCCAGCTTCGCTATCAAACTCCTTCTGAAACAGAGGCTCTAGGGAGTTGGGGATCAGAGCCCACTGCCTAGTTAGGATCGTGTGGTGTGTGTGTGTGTGTGTTTTTTTTTTTTTTTGTTGTGTGTGTGTGTTTTTTTTTTTTTTTTGTTTTTTTTCGGCTTCTCTTGCTGCATATGGAGATCGGAGGACTGTTGAGGAAAAACTATCAGAGGCCTCAAGGGCCAACCTAAAAACCCTCATGCAACAACGCGATGGGTTGGTAGGCTTGGGGCTGTTGATCGGTTTAGGGTTTAGGGTTTAGGGTTTAGGGTTTAGGGTTTAGGGTTTAGGGTTTAGGGTTAGGGTTAAGGGTTTTGGGGTTTAGGGTTCATTAAGAAGGAGATCGTGGTCAAGGATGCAGAGGTTGTCGGAATCCTGGCGGCCCTTGTGCTCACAATCACCGTGGCTGGCCTGGCCATCGTCGATGCCAAGCTCGCACAGTCGTCCTGGGTGCGGGCGGTCTACGTGGCCCTGGGATTTTGCAGTCTCTTAGTAGCTGAATGAGTACACTTTACACTTTTTAAGGGATGCTATAATCCCCCAAAAGCACTGAAAGCGCAGACTTTTTTGGGGGCTTATGAACTCAGCAACTAAGGTTTCGTTTGTTCACTGATCTCTCTTCTGATATCCTCACGGCTGCTCCTTGCCATCAACAAGCTTCACGCGAAAGACGTCTTGTTTTGCCTGGGGGAATTGGACAAGATGGGTGCTGTGAACGGCTATTGGTGGTTCGGCTGGAGTCTACAATTTCTGCTGTTCGCGGTTCTGCTATCCGTGTACATGCTTTATGACGGCATGTGCTTCGGCATCTCTTGCGCGCTCACCCTGCTTCCTTTGTGGACCATGTACCGCCTGCACAAAGCACATGTAGGCGTGGTCTGGCCCTTGGTGAATTTCTCACCTGTCACGGCAGCCAGCCAAGACGAATCCTCCGATTCTGCCAGCTTTTTGCCCTAGAACTTTCTTTCCGCAGGAGAGTTTAGGGCTTAGGGTTTAAGGTTTAGGGTTTAAGGTTTAGGGTTTAGGGTTTGGGGTAACAAAGTGCAGAAGCTGTGCCAGAGACTGGAGCACGTCGCGGAGCTGACCTCGGAGTTTCCAAAAACCCGGACATGCCGGGCCACTCCGAAAGGCAGTTCCTGCTTGAAGGTTCAGCGGTGCTTATAAGTAGGGTTATAAGGTTAAAAAGAAGGCTAGAACCATAGTTACCCTACTTATAACCCTACTTCTAAGTACCCATGAGCCTCCAAGTGGACATTACAAGGCCGTGCTTGCCACACCCTCGAGCGCTTCCCCTGTGGCAGGGCGTACCAAAAGAGGAAGCAACCAGCCACCCCAAACCCTTAACCCTAAATCCTAAACCCAAAACCCAAAACCCTGCTTCAGTTCTCATATCACCTTCATAAGGGGCCTTAATGACGTGTCTCAGCTCCCATCCCACCTCCTCCCCCCCCTCCACCCCCTGACGTCTTCGACCCGAAGCTCCAGCTCAATCCTGGCTCTGTGCAGGGCAAAGTGTGTCATAGGAGTAATATAGGGGTCGGAATAATTACTAATGGCATTCCCTTATGGTCCCTTTATAGTTATACTTTTATAACCCCCAAAACCCTATTATAAATATTCAGGCCCCTAGACTAGAGTACCCTTGTACTCCTGTACAGTCTATGGGGGTCTGTTACCAGGACCCAGAGCAGGCCCATATTCCCTTTTCGGGGGTTTAGGTTGCCTTATAAACCCCTTTAAACCAAAAAAGGGCACCCTGTTTATTCCTAGGTTACTCTTGTGTCTAGGTTATGTGGTCCCATAATATGGTCCGTATGGGCCCTTGGGTTGTGTAGGATATATAGCTTAGGGGCATAAAAGGGGACCCCATCTAAGGGCCTCCCTTTGGGACCATGGAAGTACCCTAAGGTGCAGTATAAAGGCATGCACCCTAAACCCTAAACCCTAAACCCTAAACCCCTAAACCCCCAAACCCCCAAACCGCCAAACCCCCAAACCCCCAAACCCCTAAGGCCCTAAATCCTAAACAAACCCCTAAACCCAAAACCCGAAACGCCTACACCCTTTTATCGTGGTTAGCGCACCTGTCGTTAATCTTCTCACGCATTCGACGAGCTGACTTCACCAGGCCAGCTGCCGGAACCCCCACACCCTGAACCCTGACCCCCTGCTTCCTAGTAGGGAATGAGGGAATTAGGGCCCTACAAACACCCTTTAAGGGATTATGTAGGGTACCTCATTCCCTCACTCCCTACTTGGAGGTCCATGGTGCTTATTAACCAATGATCACCGTCCTTAGAACTGTACTTCTAAGTATATTAGGGCACTAAGGGGCTTATAAGTAGGTTATAAGTACAGTTTTAATTGGTTAAGAAGTACCTAAACCCTAAACCCTAAACCGTAAACCCTAAACCCCAAGTACTTACTAAGAACCAGCCAGCTCAGAAGTGGGGGGGCGGGGGGGCGGAGTCAGGTTGAAAGGGCAGGCGGTGCTGCTCGAAGAGCAGAGGATCGAGGCCCCGGCACCCTGGAAAAGCCTGCAAAGCGATTGAGGGTTGAGGGTTGAGGGTTTAGGGCAATGAGGGGTCCAAGGACGCCTCAAGTGCGCAGCAGCGCGTCCTGGGAAGGACGCTAGCACCATGATGGAGGTCATGGAGACCTCTGAGGAGCTGGATGACGCCAAGACCCAAGAGCAGGCTGGCCTTCGGCTTGACTGGGGAGGAGGGGGTTTAGTGGGGTTGGGGTTTAGGGTTTAGGGTTTAGGGTTTAGGGTTTAGGGTTTAGGGTTTAGGGTTTAGGGTTTAGGGTTTAGGGTTTAGGGTTTAGGGTTTAGGGTTTAGGGTTTAGGGTTTAGGGTTTAGGGTTTAGTGTTAGGGTTTAGGGTTTAGGGTTTAGGGTTTAGGGTTTAGGGTTTAGGGTTTAGGGTTTAGGGTTTAGGGTTTAGGGTTTAGGGTTTAGGGTTTAGGGTTTAGGGTTTAGGGTTTAGGGTTTAGTGACTGGCTTGACTGTTTAAGGGCTGATAAGGGTTTTAAGGATTCTTCAGGGCGTCAGGTTTTTTCAGGGCGTCAGGTTTCTCAGGGTGTAAGGGGTTTATGAGGGTTTAGTGGCTGATAAGGGTTTTTAAGGACCCCAAACCCTAAACCCCCTCCTCCCTTAGAAGCCCCTCAAAACCCTCTTTAAACCCCTTAAGACGCTGATAAACCCTTCAACCCTTAGAAACTGCTTAAAATCCTTACTAAACCGCTTGAAAATCCTTATGAAACCCCTTAAACCCGTAAAAACCTGTAAAGCCCTTGTAGAAACCCCTTAAAGCCGCTTTTTAAAACCCCTGAAAGCCCTTAAACCCTTTTGGTTTTTGAGGGGAATATAAGGGAACCCCAACCCCAAAAAGGAAAAAAAGGGCCTACTCCCGGTCCGAGTATCCCTAAACCCTAAACCCTAAACCCTAAACCCTAAACCCTAAACCCTAAACCCTAAACCCTAAACCCTAACCCCTACCTAAACCCTTAAACCCTGGAAGCCTGCAAAGCTGGAAGCCTGCAAAGCTCATGAGAGCCAAAGTGCAGTTTCCACGGCCGGACAGGTCGATGAGCTCCGAGCGCGGAACAACTCCAAGGCGGTTGTTGCGGGTTTAGGGTTTAGGGTTTAGTAAGGGTTCAGGGTTTAGGGTTTAGGGTTAGTAGGGTTTCGGGTTAGTGCGCAATTCTTCGGGGATTTATGTGGCTTAGGGCTTAGCGTTTATAGGGCCTAGGGCTCAGAGTTTATGGGTTTTAGGGTCCAGGTTTAGGGGGGTTTTTGGTCTAGGGCTTCGCGTTTATGGGGTTTAGGGTCTATAGGCCTTACGTAGGGTTTATGGCTTTTGTAGGGCTTAAGGGGTTTACGGGGTTTAGGGTGTTTCTATACTATATACTCTATGTTTCGTGTTTAAGGCTTTTCTTATTTAGCCAGCTTCTTCTTCTTCTTTTCCTCAGTTTCTTCTTCACATTCTTCTTGCTGCTGTACCCGCCATTCAAGGACACGAACGCGCACCACATGGTGGTCTAAACCCTTTCTGAGCGCCCGCTGGCTGCCTCCCTCCTTTGAGCCGGGGGTTTCTCAGCGAACGGGGGCTCTTTTGCTCCACTGACTTAGAGTAGCCTAGGGTTGCCTGGTTTAGGGTTTAGGGTTTAGGGTTTAGGGTTTAGGGTTTAGGGTTTAGGGTTTAGGGGGCGCAGGATGGGGAGGGGAGGACCTGGGCCTATAAAAGTCAATTCTTTCCTGCTTCACCTGGCGACGCGCCTGCGCTCTCTCTGGCACGCTCGCCATTCGAGTGACCTTGGCTTTCTGTTGTGCTGTACGCCCACGCCCACGCCCACGCGCGCGCGCGCGCGAGCGAACGCTTGCAAGTTCATATTGGCCTGCAGCACGTTGTCAACGAGACTACTTTTTGGTGCCATTCTTCAAACTGCATTGCTTGGCCATGAACATGACCCAGGTCCAGAATAAGTTGCCCTTTGTCTTGGACATCTTGTCCTCGCCTGAACTCCTAGATTCTATCGTGTAGCGCATTCTTGAGCTTCCTTTCTTCATGTCTGAATCTTTCGAAAATCCTAGCCCCACCCCCCACCCCCGACTCCCAGCAAGCACGGTTCGGAGTTCTGAGTTTATCTGGGTTTAGGGTTTAGGGTTTAGGGTTTAGGGTTTAGGGTTTAGGGTTTAGGGCTACTGGGCCATCACTTCGGGGTTGGGCCGATAGGCTCATGCATGTGAGTCTTCAAGGAGTTCCTTCTGTGTGCCTTGGATTTGCCTCCTCTATCGAAAGCGTCCATCCGATCGGTATAGTGTTGCTAAACTCCAAAACCCTAAACCCTAGCCCTAAACCCTAAACCCCAAAATAGCCAGCGCATGGGCAAACTACTGAAATAGGGATCTCATCGCCTCCTTGGCATGCACCTCCTAAACCCTAAACCCTAAACCCTAAACCCTAAACCCCCCAAAGAAAAGAAAACGACAAAAAAAACAAAGAAATAGAACGGACCACGAAGCAGCCATTACTCGGCTCTCAGCTTGGCGGCTTCATCCTCGGCTTGCAGGGCAGCAAAAGACACGGCATGGTGTGCACACACACGTATGCATGCGTATATGCGCTTATGTAAACAGATACATGTCTGCATCGATAATTATATATATATATATATATATATATATATATTTATGTATACCATCGCTTCACGCTTACATACAGATATATAGCGAGAGATATATGTAGAGATCATGGCCCTAAATCCTAAACCCTAAACCCTAAACCCTAAACCCTAAACCCACCTTGAGAGTGCCAGCCTAGAGCTGTTGATTCGACCTGGTCTTCTGTGAGTCGTCATGGGCGGTGCTTCTTGGCTGGATGAAGCCTGGAAGTGTTTAGGGTATAGGGGTTAGGGGTTAGGGGTTTAGGGTTTAGGGTTTATTTACGCGCGATGTCCCGGAGCTAGAACGCACTCCGTGGTCCGTTAGAGCCGGGTCGTCCTTTCAAGTCCTGGGCACCAACATGCAACTATTCTTTGTCATAGTGGGGTAGCATGTTGCATATTAAGGGTACTTAAACTCAATAAGGACTTGAAAATTAATTTGTTAGTACTATCCCAACCATGACCTAGGGAAGTTCATGTCTTGTTACGGCAAATCACTTCAGAGCGGCATGGAAGATCATGTGTTCTTCTAGGTCACAATGACATCCTGAACTACAGTGACAGCGCTGGATAAGAAACCTCTAAGTTTTGGCGAGGGTACCCTCGATTTCTTAATTATGAACCTCAGTTTCTTCAGCCCCTGGATGTCTTTAAATTTAAGAAATCCAGCCCCTTGAATAAGAAATTCCTCCCCGGACTGCCCCCCCCCCCTCCCCCCCAGAAGAAAAACAATAAAGACATCCAGCCCCTCGATTTCTCAAATTGTTTGATGTTTAGAAACTGAGGGATGAATGCCAAAAAACAACCAAGCTTAAGAAATTTAGGGCCCAGGATGAGGGCACACTCGATTTCTTGATTTTGTCTTGCTCTCAATTTTCGCATTTTTTGTCCGGGATCCAGCCGCGAGCATGCTCGTTTCCTAATCCAATGATTTCTTAATCAGTGCTGTCACTGTACCTTACCCTTAAACACAAAAGCCCTTCAACCCTTTAATGCCCTGAAGTCCTTAAGCCCTTAAACCCTTAACCCCTTAAACCCCCTAACCCACCCAACGTGACACAACGTGGCACATCCATCACTGCTTCACCGAGCTAAGAGTCCGCGCCCCACCGAAGCCCTAGAAACCCCAACCCCGAAGCCCTAAACCCTAAACCCTAAACCCCTAAACCCTGAACCCTAAAACCCTAAAACCCTAGCCTGTCGAACCCCAAGCCTTATGTAAAATCAAATCGCTAAAACCCTTCAACGCCTCTCTCCCTGAAACCCTAAACCCAAACATTCGAAGCCCTAAAACCCCTAGACCCTAAAACCCTCTAATCCCATATAGCCCTAACCCTAAACCCTAAACCCTAAACCCTAAACCCTAAACCCTAAACCCACTTTGAGGTCTTATCCGGACCTCCACCGAAAGTGACGCAGCGCGTGTTCTTCGACGTCGCCATTGCCGGGAAACCGACTGGGAGGAGCCATAGCCGGTGAGTTTGGGGTTTAGGGTTTAGGGTTTAGGGTTTAGGGTTTAGGGTTTTAGGGTTTTAGGGTTTGTTGAGGGTTTCCTTTTTTCGTGGCTTCTTGGTTTTGAGAAGGTCCCTAAACCCCAAACCCCCCCACAACCCCCCAAACCCGAGTTGAAAGCTGAGGTTGAGGGCCGGGGGGGGGGGGGTTTGAAGCTGAGGATTGTTGAGGATTTTTTTCCGGGAGCTTAGAGTTGAGAATGTCCCTAAGCCCCTAGAGTTGAGAGCGTCCCTAAACCCTAAACCCTAAACCCTAAAACCCTAAAACCCTAAACCCTAAACCCTAAATCCCCAAGCCCAACCACCCAAACCTTGAGCTGAAAAGTGAGATGTTGTAGCTTGGGACGGAGAGTGGACTTTTGGATGTTCGAACTTCAGGCTACGTGAGAGATGAATGAGATCAGCCATAGGAGCCAATTTTGTTTGTTTAGGGTTTAGGGTTTCGGGTTTAGGGTTTAGGGTTTAGGGTGTTAGAGTTTAGGGTTTAGGGCTTAGGGCTTAGGGTTGCTGTCTCGTGTGCGCAGAGTGGATGTTGCCTTCGGGCAGTCAGAGATGCGCGTGAATGCCGGGGACATCAGGAGGGGAGGTGGAGAAGCCAGGTTTTGCGCTTTCGTCGCACCATTCCTGGTTACTTTTTTCTTCTTTTGCTTTGTAAACTTGTCGCCCGATTCTGGACCACATCCCAGATTCGAAGTTATCATTATGGGTGGGGTTGGGGCTTTTCACTTCACCGAGAAGCAAGTGAACCTCAGGGCGCATGCCTGGCCCCCCAATCCCAGGTAGGTCTCAGACAGGCAAGAACTGCAACTGAAACCCTAAACCCGAAGCCCTAAAGCCTGCAAAAACCCGACCTCGACCTGCTTTTTACGCGTGTATGCGCCCGCGAGGATCGTGATGGGCCTTTACGGAGCCTTGGCCGGCAGCTTCCCCCTCCCCCCCGCCCCCACATCCGGTTTAGGGTTTAGGGTTTAGGGTTTAGGGTTTAGGGTTAGGATGGGGCTTTGGTTCGCCACAAAACTGATCTCAATGAATTGAAGTCGGCAGTCAGAGCTACGACGACGAGCTCCTGTATACCCTAGAAACCCCATGAGAACAAGCCCCTGTCACCTATGCCCTAAACCCAAAACCTTAAGCCCTAAACCCCCAAACCCTAAACCCTAAACCCCCCCTCAAAGGAGAGCACGTTCCCAAGACGGTTGCCAACTTCGAGGCGTTGTGCAGGCGACCCTGCCTTTCAAAAGGGAGTTTTTTCGCAGGTTGATCCTTAGATGGTTAAACCCGAACCCTAAACCCTAAAGTAAACCCTAAACCCTAAACCATAAACCCTGAACCCCAGAATTGATAGGGTTTTGGAGTTTTAAGCTGTGCGCGCCGGGGATCGCCATGCTTGTATATGCCCTTTACTAAAGGGAGGGCGGGGGGGCATAGATTGTTGTTAGATCAAGCACTTATGGGGTTTAGGGATGGGGTTTAGGGTTTAGGTAGGGTTTAGGGTTTAGGGACCTAGTTAAGCTCTGTACCACTTAGTATTGCAAGTGCAGGTGCGACAAGGGCGCCCCACTGTGCTACCGCGGCTCGCCCTTCCACCGTACCGCGGCTGACGCATGTGGGGGTTTGGGGTTTAGGGTTTAGGGTTTAGGGTTTAGGGTTTAGGGTTTAGGGTTCGAAAATTGGGGACCCCAAAAATAGACCCCAGATACTAGGATTCCCTCATCATATTGACCCCAATAAGGTGCCCCTAATTTCGGGTACCCCCCCCCCCCCATTTGGATCTCTAGTTATTCTTGGGTCTTGATGGCTCCCAAAGGAGGGTGTGGGGTTCAGGGGTTTTCTTTCATGACTCCATCATTCTGATACGAGAAAGGGGAGAACTTGGCCATCTCAGCACCACGTTCCAACTCCGAACCCTAAACCCGAAACCCCGAAAACCCTAAAACCCTAAAACCCTAAAACCCTAAAACCCTAAAACCCTAAAACCCTAAAACCCTAAAACCCTAAAACCCTAAAACCCTAAAACCCCAAAACCCTAAAACCCTAAAACCCTAAAACCCTAAAACCCTAAAACCCTAAAACCCTAAAACCCTAAACCCTAAACCCTAAAACCCTAACCCCTGAAACCCTAAACCAACCGTCGCCTAACGTGCCAGTCGCATTTAGCGGGTGAGAGTCCTCTTCCAGTTGATGAGTGGCCGGTTGCCTTGGCAGCCCAGTAACCATTTCATTACAAGGGTGCCTTTTTTTGTTTTTATTTTATTTTTTTATTTTTTCTTGGGGGGGGGGGGGGGGGGGGGGGGGGGGTGGGGGGGGGGGGTTGGGGGGGGGGGTGGGGGGGGGGGGTTGGGGGGGGGGGGTGGGGGGGGGGGGGGGTGGGGGGGGGGGGGGGGGGGGGGGTGAGGGGGGGGGAGGGGGGGGGGGGGTGGGGGGGGGGGGGGGAGGGGGGGGGGGGGGGGGATGGCTACAATATAAGTAATAGAACCCACAAAAAGGGGCAAAACTTTGTCCGAGTGGGGTAGCATTTTACATCTCCAAGGGTACTTAAAACTCAATGAGGAATAGCTTCTTAAATATCTAAAAAACCATCCCAACCATGAACTAGAACAGGGTACCACTGGCCTACCAAGTTGCTTGAGGTATCATCCCTGGATTCATGGTCCAGGGCGGGGACACCACCAATGGCAATGGCACCGGCGGGGTGTCCATCTACGGCGGGCGTTTCGAAGATGAGCAGACGCTCGGAGTCTGAGTATGATGTGAGGGGTGGGAGCGAAACCCTAAATCCTAAACCCTCGACCCTAAACCCTAAACCCTTGTGCACAAGGGTTCAGACAGCAAGTATGCAAGATTAGAGGGGACGGGAGAGACAAAGAAACTTAAGATTGTTAGAATCCACATGTCCATGCTGCCGTGAGGGTTGACGGGCCTTCAGTTCGCGACCGGTGGCCCCAAGTCCTAAGCCCGGAACCCTAGGATCTAAACTTGGGATGTTCCCCTTATAATAACAGTCCTTCATAGGGTTTTTCTGATAGGTGGTACTACAATCCCTATTGTCAACGACTGTTAGTACAAGGGGGAGCAACCCAACGACTAAACCCTAAACTCTGAACCCTAGCCCCTAAACCCTAAACCTTAAACCCTAAACCCCAAACCCTAAACCCTAAGCCCTAAACCCTAAACCCTAAACCCTAAACCTAAACTAAACCCTAAACCCTAACCCTTAAACCCTAAACCTAAACCATAAACCGCAGCCGGGGGGGGGGGGGGGGGGGGGGTTTAGTATTAGGGTTGGTATGTTCCCCCTTGTACTGACAGTCCTGCAGATTATAGTACCCCCGATGAGAATCCGGATTAAGGACTGTTAGTATAAAGGGGAACATCCCGAGTTTAGGGGCTCAATGCCATCAAGATTGGTCACAGATTCAAAAGGATTCTTCAGGGAGGGGGGTTCAAGGGGGGGGTAGGTACCTAGGGAGCCTTAGGGAAGCTTAGGCAGCCTTAGGGAGTATTAGGGAAGCTTGGGTGATAAAACCCTAAACCCTAAACCCTAAACCCTAAACCCTAAACCCTAAACCCTAAACCCTAAACCCTAAACCCTAAACCCTAAACCCTAAACCCTAAACCCCACACACATTGCAAGGTTCGGAGTCTCTCACAACAAAGCCGGCCTGTTGAGTATGGCGAACGTGGCTTGGCGGCCTTTACTGCCCGAAGTACTCTTTCAGAGTCTTTGGGGCGTAGAGGCGCCAGGGTTTAGGGTTTAGGGTTTAGGGTTTCAGGGTTTAGGGTTAGGGTTTAGGGTATAGGGTTTAGGGTTTAGGGAGTAGGGAGTAGGGAGTAGGGTTTGGGCCCGAATTCCTTTGGGAGACGATTTCTCTTGCGTTCTGTTGGTGCAAGAATCAGCAGAAGCTTCCACACCAAGGATCACTCGTCTGCAATTCCAAATTGGGTATTTCGCCGAATAGGGGTACCCTCAATATGCCCCCCAAAATCTTACTGCAGGAACCCCCGAAACAGGGTGCCCCTACTTTCGGAGAAGACCCCAAATAGACCCTCGCAATGCCCAGTCCCCCGCAAGTAGCCCACTCAGGGCGGAAGATCTTCAGAAAACACCTCGGACCCATGGCATACCTCAAGAAGTCTGGTGTTTAAAGTTTTCAGGGTGTGCACTGGTGAGGCGCTATTTAATTTCAATGGGTTTTCGGAGTAGGTTTTGGGATGTTCCCCCCCCCCCCTACACTGGCAGTCCTGAATAGGGAGCATAACAGGGGCTACTATAACCCCTGCTAAGGACTGTTAGTACAAGGGGGAACATCCCAAAGTAGGTTGCATAAAAGCTGATCGAATAATCGATGATCCTGGCAACTTTCTAGGCTCCTGTCTTTGGGTTTGCTGTTTGGCCTTGGGTGGATCCAGAGGTAGCACAAACCCGAAGCCCTAAACCCTAAACCCTGCGCCCTAAACCCTAAACCCTAACCCTAAACCCTAAACCCTAAACCCTAAACCCTGAGCCCTGAGCCCTAAACCCTAAACCCTAAACCCTGCCTAAATGCCTTTGGCAGTTTGATCCAGGCTGGGCCAAACACGAATGGCTCCCAATTCTTCATCACCACAGCGCCTGCCTATCACTTGGATGGCCACCCGTTCCGAAACTGGCCCTCCGGAACCCATAGGCCCCTGAACCTTTCGTGTTTAGGTCTAGGGTTGAGGGTTGAGGGTTGAGGGTTGAGGGTTGAGGGTTGAGGGTTGAGGGTTGAGGGTTGAGGGTTGAGGGTTGAGGGTTGAGGGTTTAGGGTTTAGGGTTTAGGGTTTAGGGTTTAGGGTTTAGGGTTTAGTAGGGTAAACACCTAACCCTAAACCCTAAACCCTAAACTCCAAACTCATGAACCTCCAAGTCGGGGCTTTGTGAAAAATTGCAGGGCTTCGAGGCCGATCCCGTAACTGAGGCTTCTTCGAGAAAGACTCATGTCCCGGAGCCCTGAAAACCTGCCCAGACCCCAAGGAGTGGGGTTTAGGGTTTAGGGTTTAGGGTTTAGGGTCTGGGATTAGGGTTTAGGGTTTAGGGTTTAGGGTTTGGGATTAGGGTTTAGGGATGAGGCTTTAGAATTTAGTGTTTTGGCAGGGGGGGTTCGTGTGTACCCGAAACCTTACAACCTTCGAGTAGCTAAGAGATACATTTTTGCATTTTTTGTGGTTTTTCGGTTCCCGTAGAACAGTAACCAACCCCAAAAAGTCACGAAGAGTACCCTTGTTTACAAAAATGCTGAGCCACGAGAACCCAAACTTTTAGGGTTTTGGGGCTTATAGGGCGTCAGGTTTAGGGTTCAGGGCTTAGGGTTCAGGGTTTAGGGTTTAGGGTTTAGGGCTTCAGGTTTCAGGGACTAGGTGAGCCCTAAAAGGTTCCTGGCTCGTGGCCGGTATATGCCCAAGTACGAGGTTCATATGGTCCGCAAGGTACCAGACACTTTAGATTGGGGTTTAGGGTTTAGGGTTTAGGGTTTAGGGTTTAGGGTTTAGGGTTTAGGGTTTAGGGTTTAGGGTTTAGGGTTTAGGGTTTAGGGTTTAGGGTTTAGGGTTTAGGGTTCACCAAAGGCAAGCATGTCATCTTCGGCGAAGTGCTAGAAGGCGGGGCATGTCCGATGCGCGAGGATTGTTCAATGCGACGTTTAGGGTTTAGGGTTTAGAGTTTAGGGTTATAGGGTTATAGGGTTTAAGGTTTAGGGTCCACACAGTCCACACATGCGTATTGCAAAACAGGGTCCATACCATGAACGGCGCTTCTTGGGTCTTCATTTCTTGCAGGCATGCTTGTGAAGTTGACAAGCCCAAAGGGTTTAGGGTTTAGGGTTTGGGGTTTATATAGTATGTATCTGGGCCTTCAAGGGGTCCCTATTTAGTAGCTTTAGGGCCCAGGTATATACTTCATAGATACATGGACTTTTAGGGAAGTGGGTGCGGCTCTTCCTACAGGATGGGGCATGTTTTGTAGTCTTGGCGTTTGTGCCGGGAAGGTTTGAACTAAACCCCTAAACCCGTAAATGCGCAAACCCATAAAACTCAAACCCCTTAACCCTAAACCCTACACCCTAACCTGAACCCTAAACCCTGTCTCTCTGTCTGTGTGTGTGTGCGGTTTAGGGTTTAGGGTTTAGGGTTTAGGGTTTAGGTTGTACTGTTTAGGATTGGGGTTTAGGGTGTAATAAGGCAACCGGAGATGTGGGCAGGGGCTGAGGAGGCCTTCGGAAGACTGTAAGCAGCAGAACATGGAGTGTTTTCGTGGGCCCCATAAACCGCAGCAACTGGAGGTCGGGTTTAGGGTTTAGGGTTTAGGGTTTGGGGTTTAGGGTTTAGGCTTTAGGGTTTAGGCTTTAGGGTTTAGGGTTTAGGGTTTAGGGTCGATAATGAGCTCGATTTCTGTGAAAGTGATGCTGTGAGGGCTTGGGCTCAAGCACACCAGTTGCGAGAGAGAAGGAAACAATGAAGGAAGACAAGCAGCTGGCAAGGGCTCAACTGCTTTAACGTTCGACATGAAGTCGTTTCTGCTCCTGCGCACGAGGGAGTTGGCCTGTTCTCCTTATGATCACCAGCCCTGCCAATCTCAAATCCTGCAACCCGAAGCACTACCCTATGGCCCTAAACCCCTACAACCTGAATGTTCCTAAGCCCTAAACCCTAAACCCTAAGCCCTAAACCCTAAACCCTAAACCCTACAGCCCCAGAGCCAGGAGAGCAGGTGGTCAAAGCTCTCGAGTCTCATGGCAGCTTGCCTGGCCTGGAAGAGGTTGACGCGGTTGCTGTTCAGGAACTGGTTAAGGGTTTAGGGTTTAGGGTTTGGGGTTTAGGGTTAAGGGTTTAGGGTTTAGGGTTTAGGGTCTAGGGTTTAATGGCTGTTCAGGAACCTGAGTACAGCACGAGGACCCAGAGTAGGCCCTTTATTCAGGGTTTAGGGTTTAGGGTTTAGGGTTTAGGATTCTGTTCAAGAACCTGGGTGCAAGCGATCCCTTGGTAGCTTTGGGTTTGGGGTCTAGGGTTTTAGGGTTTTAGGGTTTTAGGGTTTTAGGGTTTTAGGGTTTTAGGGTTTTAGGATTTGGGGCTTTCAGATTTTTGGGTTCAGGGTTTAGGGTTTTAGGGCTTAGGGTTTAGGATTTTAGGATTTTGCGGTTCAGGGTCTAGGGATTTAGGGTTTAGGACTTTAGGGTTTAGGGTCTGGGTAGCCCAGCGGTACCATTTTTGTTTCCCTTTTCTTGGTTCAAGGTCCCATTCGACAGTCGCCAGCCCCAAAAAAGGGTCTAGGGTTTAGGGTTTAGGGTTTATCTTACGGCAATTACGAACATTCCGAAACAACCCGAAGCCTTTAAGCCTGAAACGGCCTAAAGCCTCTGTGGTACATCGGGGCTTCCAGGTCTGGCTTTGGGTTTCCTTCTGATGTCTTGGAATGTGCTGGGTGGCTCCGTAAACCCTAAACCCTAAAACTCCAAACCCTGCATCCAAACCCTAAACCCTAACCCTACATCCAAACCCTAAACCCTAAACCCTAACACTTAAGAAGGCATTAGAAGGCGCACTGTGCCAGAAGCGGCTCTGTCAAGATGGCACATGCTATAGTCGCAATGCTCCTAAAATCATCTTTCTGCCAGGAACGAAAAGTACAACTATCAATAGAAGTGCATGAGCCAATGCCCAGCATATGTTTGAAATGGGTCTCCCTAAAGCCTAAACCCTAAACCCTTTATAAACCCTAAACCCTAAACCCTAAACCCTAAACCCTAAACCTTTTGGGCCACAGCAAAGCAAGACTCGGTGGACCCTTCGGGTAGCGAAGGCACTGGCTCTGGGCGCCCCACGCAGAAGGCGATTATTGCCAATTGCGGTGTCCTGGTGTTGAAATGGTACCCTAAACCCTAGACCCTAAGCTTTAAACCCTAAACCCTAAACCCTAAACCCTGGTGTTGGGTTCGCGCCCAGGCCATGCTGACATCAGAACAAGGAGGTAAGCTTCCGAACCCAGATGGGTAACTCCAACTTAAGCAACGTAGGACTCGTTAGAATGCAGAATGCTGAATGGGGTTAAGATGGAGTATAGGATTCTGGGCGTGTAGTGCGAGTTTTTTTTTTTAAAGCCGCCATGGCAACCTCTGATCTAGCAATCAGGTTTGTGCATGGAGTCAGGAGCAGATTTTCTTCAAACCCTAAACCCTAAACCCTAAACCCTAAACCCTAAACCCTAAACCCTAAACCCTAAACCCTAAACCCTAAACCCTAAACCCTAAACCCAAAGGGGACTTGAGGAAGTTGCAGCTTGCCGCGAGCTGACACACACACACACACAAAGCCCTGAACCCTAAACTCAATCCCAGAAGCCCCAGGAGCCCTGTAAAGAACACAAGCACCCTAAACCCTAACCCTAAACCCTAAACCCTAAACCCTAAACCCTAAACCCTAAACCCTAAACCCTAGACCCTAAACCCTAAACCCTAAACCCTAAACCCTAAACCCTAAACCCTAAACCAAAGCCTGTAGCAAGTCTATAAACCCTAAAGACTAAAGCTGAGGCGTTGTGCCGGACATCGAGTGACGCAAGCCCGGCGGATGACGCTTCAGCGAAGGATCAAAATGGGTCGTGGTTTAGGGCTTAGGGTTTAAGGTTTAAGGTTTCGGGTTTAATCCTGAAGCTTATGAGACCCATGGTCCCCCACCCGACACCCCGAACCCTGAACCCTCAACCCTAAACCCTACCTGAAGGCTCTAATGTAGATTGTTTTTGGTTCAGTTCTAGGGGATTTTCGTATATTACCCCCAAAAAGTTCTACATAGCTAGATGTAAACTCTAAACCCTAAACCCTAAACCCTAAACCCTAAACCCTAACCCCTAAACCCCTAAACCCCTAAACCCCTAAACCCCTAAACCCCTAAACCCCTAAACCCGACATGACCACATACCAGCTGCGCCAGATACGCGCTGTGGAATCGGAGCTCGCCAGCCTCTTTAGCAAGGAGGACTAGGGTTTAGGGTTTAGGGTTTCGGGTCTTTACCTCCTCGTTCACAACGTCATTGGGGAGATGCTTTCGGGGTGTAGTAAGATCACCTGAAACCCTATAAACCCTAAAACCAAAGTCAAGAAGGTCTGCCATACTCGTGCCAACATGGGCCCTAAACCCTAAACCTCAACCCCAAGCCCAGAACAAACGCAGAGCTCATCCAAGTTTTAGGATGTCGTTCTTCTATGCCGTTTAGGATTCGGGGCTTGGGCATTAGGGGCAGGGCTTAGGCTTTTGGGGCTTAGGGCACCCTCTCTCGGCCATGGGTCGAGCATCTGGGCACAGATGTTTACAAAGTTCCCTGCTCCGCAAATTTCAGAGCCGCGCCATATGGCCCTGCTGACCCATCATGGAGGCTTACGATATCAGGGGTAATTACCTTCTTGGGGTCCTTATGTAAGGGCGATCCTGCTATTTGGGGGTCTATATTTGGGGTCTCTTACTGTCGTAATGGGCCATCGCCCTAAACCCTAAACCCTACGTACACATAAACCCTAAACCCATGTAAACACGACTGATGCCCCTTGAGACTCTCAGCCCTTCATGAGCTCGCAGATCGAGTCTGAACCCTAAACCCTAAAGCCTAAACCCGGGGCTCAGGACTCAGAGAGCACAGGATCTTCATTTGGTCGCAGAACACTTTCGATGCCAGCGCAGCGCGCGCACGTTCTTGATGGCTCTAATGTTTGCCGCTGGCGTAGCTCAAAGTCGGCTTATAAGGGAGCTCTTGGTGCATGATACGCGTGCCATGCCTGCAAACCCTGGATCCTTCACTGCCTCTCAGGTTTTCTCGGTGAACTGCCATGTCTGTTGGCTCACAGCTGCAGCCTACTACAATAGCACATGAAAACCTAGTAGTAGAGTAGGTAACCTTCAACCTTTTTGGGGTCGTATAATCCCTCTTAGAATCCCAAAGGTTAACCTTGAAATCCCACAAGTTATTGGACAACGAAGAAAAGCCTTAAGCCCTCAAGCCTACAAGCCACCTCTGCGATGATGAGCACCCAGCTAGCCGCTAGATCTGAACAGACTCCTTGTTGGAGACATGGGGGTTTCCTTTAGTATGGGTACACCCACACATAGCAGTTATCCCCTTCACAAGGACCCCAAGGAGGGTACCCCCATTATCGGAAACCCGCGTTTCGTAGCCAGCCCAAGCCGTAAACCCTGCAGTGCCCAGCAGCCCAACTCCACATCAGTGTCCTCCGCGGACGCAAGCTGGGCGCAGGACTCAAGGGTACCTCCCAACACCTTGCAATGCCTATGTAGGATGTGAGGGGGTGTCATCTGTCTTCAGTCTAAAGTATGAGCCTCTGGGCCCACTTTGTGTCTCCACTACAACTTCGGGCAAAAACACAGGCCCCCACTTCAGGTCCCCTCCACCCTCCCCCCCAACCCCCCCCCACGTCCTTGCCTACTGACCCTAACGCATGAACCTGCGTACTGCTCCTCCCCAAACGACCGAATGTCCTAAGCAACACCGGAAACAGGGAGGAGAGCGCCATGAACAAGGGCGTCCACGCCCTAAACCCTAAACCATAAACCCTAAACCCTAAACCCTAAACCCTAAACCCTAAACCCTAAACCCTTGCGCACACGGAAGCCTGGGGTCCTGAGGTGATATGGCCCTGAACCCAAGAATTTCAGTGAGTTGCCTGGGCACTACAGTCTGAGCAGGACGCTGCTTGCCCCAAAGCCCTATCAACCCTATCTAGACCCTATGTAAACCCTATAGACCATATCAACCCTCGCAACCCCATAAACCTTATGAACCACAAACCTGCTTGAAAGCCACCATTTTCAACCACGTCGGCCCCGGAGGGTGAAGGGTTTAGCGTTTAGAGCACAGGGACAAGCGTTGAACCCCATGGACTAGACGCCCTAAACTCTCTGAGCCCTAGAAGGGGCGACGCTTTTGTGCAAAGCACCGCACAACCACCTTCTCTCGGAGGATCGCCATGCAGTTCGCCCGTCGCGAGGCGAAAGAGCGTCAGAGGACCCAGCACATGCCGGTCCCCCTAATATGGGGTGTATGGGGTTTATAGTATTGATAGGGTTCAGGGTTTAGGGTTCAGGGTTTAGGGTTTAGGGTTCAGGGTTTAGGGTTTAGGGTTTAGGGTGTGGGGTTTAGGGTTTAGGGTTTAGGGTTTAGGGTTTAGGGTTTAGGGTTAGGGAGTTCAGAGCTGCCGTCGATCTAGTGTCGAAGCAACCTGAGCCAGCTGATGGAGCCCAGGGTTTCGGGTTTAGGGTTTAGGGTTTAGGGTTTAGGGGGTTTAGGGTTTAGGGGGTTTAGGGTTTAGGGTTTCGGGTTTAGGGTTTAGGGTTTAGGGTTTCGTTTAGGGTTCTTAGGGCTTGGAACGCCTTCCCAGGGTCTATAGGATCCTCAGCGTTCAGGGTTTTGGGGTTCCGGTGCTCAGGAGGATCCTGGTCACCCGCCGTTTGCGAAGGGCACCCCTTACAACTCTAATGGGGTCGGGGGTGGGGGGGGGGGGGGGGGGGGGCGGTTAGGGTTTAGGGTTTAGGGTTTAGGGTTTAGGGTTTAGGGTTTAGGGTTTGGGGTTTGGGGTTTGGGGTTTGGGATTTAGGGTGAGGCCTCAGCCCTGTAGTCGGTTCTCATCGCCAGAACCCCACGGGATCCGCCCCATCTGTTTAGGGTTTAGGGTTTAGGGTTTAGGGTTTACGGTTTAGGGTTTAGGGTCTTTGCAGACTCCAGCCCATCCTCGCCATGCATCAACCCCTATTAAGATTGGGTTCGTGATTCTTAATTGGTAGCCCGGTGGTACGCTTTTGCCCCTTTTTTTGATTCTAGGTTCCCTTTAACGTAACCAACCCCAAATGAAACAGGTACCCTTATTGAAGTATTAGAATATGGTTCCTGCGCTACCAAGATTTGCCCCTTTGCCGATAAGCCCCCTAACCTGCTCAGCCCGACTACATGCCTGGTTCTTGGCCACCTACCCGCGGATCTTCCCGCGGAGCCAAGGTGTCGACTTAGATCCCCTCCGCGTGCTGCACCTACGCAACAAGCGCCTGCCTAAGCCGAGAGGTTTCCATCCGCAGCCGCTTAGCCATTCTAGCGTTGGTGCAGAATCTTGGAACCCTAAGGCCCTAAACCCTTAAAATAAACCCTAAACCCTTGAAACACCAAACCGTAGCTTCCCAAAGTCCTTTGCGATGCATGACTGAAGAAACCAGATCGCAATTGGGTTCTCGTGAAAAAGCTGAAACCTTAAGCTCCCACGAACTCTAAGTATGCACCACACTGGCATGACCGTGCGGATTTATTTTCAGCGCAGTTGGGTATCCTGCCCACAGCAGCCTCGAGAGACCAGGAGTAGCTAGAATGGTCCTTAAGCGGGAGTGAGGCAAGGTAGGTTTGCTGGAAATGATGGGCTACGTGCGCAGGGGATGTACCCCTACACGCTGCACCCTAAACCCCAAATCCTAAGCCCTAAACCCTAAACCCCAAACCCTAAACCCTAAACCCTAAACCCGAGTGAGAGAGAGAGAGAGAGCGCGAGATTGGGTCCCAAGGCGGAACGAGAAGGAAGCGCGACTGACACAGCAAAGCCGCCTCCCCGGCAACGGTGCAATGGTTAGGGTTCAGGGTTTGAAGGGTTCAGGGTTAAGGGTTTGAAGGGTTTTGAAGGGTTTTGAAGGGTTTTGAAGGGTTTCGAAGGGTTTTGAAGGGTTTTGAAGGGTTTTGAATCTAGGGTTTAGGGCCAAATTTTAGGGTTCAGGTCTTGAAGGGCTGAACCCCTTTAAGGCTATACTCTCAGGGACCTGATAACTCGGGTCTTGGAACACAAGAACTCGATGCCTGTAAGGCCTTTAAGCCCTAAGCCCTAAACCCTGAACCCACCCAACACCCTAAACCCGTAGGACCCCTTAGACCCTTTAGACCCTTTCAGACCCTTTCGACCCGTTTAGACCATTTAGCTTCCCCGCTCTTTGAGGCCGGGAGGTTCAGCACTTGGCCCACATCGGCGCCCCCCTGTGGTGTGCACCCCGGGGTTTAGGGTTTAGGGTTTAGGGTTTAGGGTTTTGTGGGGTTTTGTGGTTTCTGGTGTGTCGCGTGGGTCTTGTCTTGTTTCTTGATCCCAGCTTAAGCATGGGGGGCTCTGGCAAACATGTCACAATCCAACGACGCAGGCTTTCTCCTAAGCCCTCAGAAGTCCGAACACCTATAAACTGTAACCTTCAATGTTGTTAAAAAGTCTATGCCCTCCACCCTAAGCCCTAAACCCTGAACCCTAAACTTTAACCCCTGAACCTCAGGCTCCCACGCTATCCAACCCTAAACCCTAAACCCTAATCCCAAAACCCTAAACCCTAAACCCTAAACCCTAAACCCTAAACCCTAAACCCAAACCCCAAACCCTAAACCCTAAACCCTAAACTCAGCCCTCTGCAACCTTTCGGGTTACTCGAATCCCTTTGCAGGACTGTTAGAAAAAGGGGGAGCAGCTCAAGTTTAGGGTTTTTAGGGTTTGTTTTGAAATTTCAAGGATCAACTTTTGTTGGCTTCGTAACCAT